AAAAGAAGTCATGTAGAGAAGGGTGGGAGGCTACATCTGGATGTCACGGCAGGATATGTTGTCAGATCTCTAGATGCATTTGCACTTGTTTCTGACTCTCCTGGAGCAGGACTCATCACCCATCGCTGCAGGTTACCGGCAGCACAGCCGTCGATGCAGCCACTTGTTGTGTAGGCAATCCCTGGAGCCAGCAGGCAGAAGAGGCACTTTTAGGAGATGACTCACCTCGCGCTAAGGCTGATATTTAACCTCGTCAGGATGAGTCGTGCCCTAGAAGTGCCTATTTCCCCCCATTGAATGAAAGGGAGCCTAAAGCGACCAGCTCTGACATGGACGGCTGTGCTGTTGGCATCAGCGGGAGGTGAGATCCTGCAACTGAGTCATTATATCTGCCCTAAAATATGGTTGTGGGATTGATTGTTTCAGATTTTGCTATTTATACAGAGCAACATTCAAAGAGGAAAGAAACAAGGAGGAACTGTTTCCTCGCCGGTCTGAGTTGGCACCCCAGGGGTGAGTCACACCGATCTCCCCCCGATAGCTGGGAGACGGGTGGATAACTCACAGCGATGTCAGCACGCAGACACATCCATTAGCCGTGGTGACAAAGGCACGAAACCTCCACTTCTGCTGTAGGAGTATAATTACCGCAGGAGAAAAATCTGAGTCACGGGTGTAATGCAGCCTCCTGTCAGGTATGTGATACGTAAGGTGTTAAGCAGCTGAGGGGCTGGAAAATACTGAAACGATCACTGCTCAGTGCAGGTGAATCACACAGTGAAGTTCCTTGGATGTGGCACATGGAGAAGTGGTTTGCCAAGCATGCGGGACAGCGTATTAGCGCTTGATTTTTCACAGTGGTTTTCACAGAGAGATAAACATCTCTCTTATTTCATCCTTGCTATTTTGAAGTAGATTCTTCCAGACAGTGTCTGGAGTTGCAGATTTTCTTCATCTAAACAGACGTCAAAATATCTCGGGGTATGGAAGCAGACATTTAGGACACTTGCACAACCTTTTCCAGCAAGGTACCATGCACTGACGTAGTGTAGGAGTGAGTACAGCTGTCATGGAGGAACTCTAACATCTACATAAATCCAATCCAGAATTAAACTGCTACTTTAAGATGCTTTAAGGAGGCTATTTATTTTTCTTTCTTATTCTAGTGTAATTGGTGCAGGGTTGTTTAGATACCTTATCTAAACATTTCTGTCTCCTCATATGTTGTTGTGATTTCAGTAAAAACCTTTTGATGCTTGGAGTAGCAGCTAACATTTACCTAGTCTAGAAGAAGAATCAGTGGTTAAATGATCCTTTTGTTGGGAAAAGCTGCCGGGGAAAGGCTACCACTGAAGCACAGATCTGGGCAGGAGCTGTGCCATCGAGCTGCTGCATTTCCCAGGAACAAGGCTGCAGTGAGGAGCTCCCCAGCGCTGGGGTTGGTGACATCACCTGCGTCCTTGGGAAATGCTGGAAAGCACCAGAAAATGAGAGCAGGAAAAGACACAGACACAAACAGGATGGTAACGAGGCACAGAAAATATTGAGCTGTTTCGATGTGACTTACACTTGGCAAACCCCTGTGTGCTCTCAGCTTCATACTTGAGTTTCTTCTCCCCGGCACGATCCAACAGGCAGCACAGGGCTTGCCTCTGCTTCTGGGAAGCCAGTGGTGAAGGGGCATAGAGGCACCACAGCTGGACAAGCTGGACCACTTCTGGCCTCTGGTCAGGGGCTGTGTCACCAGGACTGCAGGTGAGGCCAACCTGCCCCCTGGTCTTAGACATTTTGGCTTGCTTTTTGTATTCATCCTTTTGGTCTGACCCATACTGACCCTTCATTTTTTTTTTTTTATTTTTTTTTTTTAAGTCTGTCCCTTTTTCATTCTTCTGCAGCATCACAAATCCTCCAAGGTACTGTCAGCTCCTTTCTGGGGCCCCAGGAGGTTTGAAACCTGCTGGGTGATGGATACAAAGAACCATGAAGGTCTGTGGGAATACAACACAGAGATGGTCCAAGGTCTTTTTATGGAATTAACTCAGATCTAGTTGGACTTATTTTGAACTCATGTTGAACAAGGCTTTTTGGATGGGCATAGCAGTGGGCTGGAAACGACCCCCACCACTTTCCTCACGCTGCACCTCAGCAGGTGATTCTCCCAGAGCATGGCAGGGGATATGACACAGGTACAGGTGCAGTCAGCTCACATCCAGACAGACTTTCTGAGGGAAGGCCTTAGCCTCATCTTGAATGGAGATTGTTAGACTATTTCCAGGCCCAACATGACCCTGTAATCTGCTACGCTTCATTCATGTGGCTCTTGTGCTAATGAGCCATGTCAGACACTACCTATCTCTGCATATGTGGCAGAGATAATCTGCAAACTGGGTAATTCAACCACAGATGCCAGAGAGCTGGGTTTAGCTGCAAAAACCTCTGGGATTGCTTCAGCCTTGTCCCTAAGCACTCCAGTGTGACTTTCATTGGACCCAACTGAGCTGAAAATGTCTCATTGAGGGAGTTCTCCCTAATCTGTTCCTTCTGTTGTGCTCAGTTCTTCCCCTTTCGTCACTGCTGTTAACTGCATTAACCATCTGATAGCAGTTAAATTTTTACTGAAGTATGAAGCAACTTGGACGATCATGAAGTCCTGCTGGAATGGGGACTCACTCTGAAAGGGGTAGTCACATTGGCCATATCTACCAGTCTTTACAGGGGTAAATGAAGCTGGTATTTGCTGTGAAAACACATCCTGCCTTCTGAGCGATCCCTTCTTGGAAAGAGGAAGCCTAAGTGCCACTTTGCCAAAGCAGTGAAGGAGCGTGGGATAAAACAGCAGTGAGGCCTGAGAAGGAAGGTGCACAGAACAAGGAGGGGATAACCGTGAATCCTGAACTCACCATCTCCTCAGATCATGCTTTCACCCATTGGAGAAGCAGAAAGCAAAACACAGCACGCATTAGAAACAGAAAACAGATATAAACTCAGTGCAAACTCAATATCAGGTACCTTCCCTGGCTCCCACTCTCCATCTCCTCTCTCCTGACTGCTCATCTTCAGCCCATTTGGTTGTGACAGCACAACTGCTTGCAGTACTGCATTTTGAACTGGATTAGGGGACTGATCCGATTAAAAAAAAAAAATCCTGCCAAGAAATGTCAGTTCTGTGATGGGAACAGACGATAGTGAGAATAATTGAAACCAGCATTGCCACTGAACATGTTGCATTACAAAACCACAGCCCCAGCTACATGGCCAGTCCAGCCAGGCAGCGCTGCATTGTTCTGATTTATGAGTAAATCTGCTGTTAGAAGTTGGCATTCCCCTTGCCTGTGACTTTTTTTTTTTTAATTATTATTATTTATTTTGCTTTAAATAAATGAGTACAGTTGTCTTCCAGTCACAACAAATATTGCGTCTGTCTTATTTAGGGCTATTGATTGACATCTTTTGTCATGAAAATGAAATTCAGGGATGCAAAACTGTATTAGAAATGGCTGAGAGGAGAAAGTATGGATCAGAAATTTCAGAGGGCGAAACATTAACGTAACAGTTACAGGAAAACAAAGCCTTAAAACACCACAAAAGTCATAGGAAAAACTATATTAAAAAAAAAATAAAAAATTAAATAGCTCCTGTTTGGCACAGATAGGCACATCTGCACTGCAGAGGAGGTGTGCGCCCACCCACAGCACGAGGGCTGTGACTCCTGCCAGCAAGGCTTTCAGGGCAAAGTACACGTCTTACATGTTCTTGTGCTCCTAACCAAGAGCATAAAAGGGTGGAGCTGCTCTCATTCACTGGGAGATTTTTCTTGTCCATAGCAGAGGCTGGAATTCACTCAACACCACGAGGTCTGACAGCACTGGGGTGCTCCAAGCACTCCCCATCCTCCCCACGGTGAAATTCGTGGCACAGTTCTTGGCACGTGGGCCGGTGCCAGCCAGCTCTCCCCTGCCCTGTTTCTGGGAAGGGTTCAGAAGCACTGTGGGCCAGGGACTGTTCCCAGCACCAGTTTCCATGCGACCACCCTGTTTTGGAGGGTAAAAGAGGTTAATGCTATGGATGCAGGCTGCTCCTTGCCAACCGGCCTCAGTGCCAGGGAATGGCCCCAGGCACATTTCATTTGCTAGTATAGGCACAGCTTCAGTTCTTTTGTGCTATAGTTCCTGTCTCATTCACTAACATTTTAAAACCCTTTGGTAATAGTTTGTTAGTGAGCTGATAGGTATTTTAGACCACAATTTATGGATTTAACAGATTCCTTTTTTTTTTTCTTTTTTTTTCTTTTTCTTTTTTTTTTTTTTTTCCTTACAGTAAGTAGGAAAGGTGTCCTGAGGCTTTACTCCCGCTTCCTGCCATGCTGGGATAACTGCTGACAATGAGCATCCCAGCTGGCTGTTCAGGCTAGGCAACAGGCAAATCCTCTGCTTGCAAACACTGCTCCTTATCTTCAACGAAAAGTAGAGAGGTTTATCTGAGCAGGCTCTTCGTGGAAGAAACCAGACATTTCTTGGCAACTCCAAGCACAGTGGCAGACTACGCTCTTAATTTGCTAATGCTGTTCTGTTTCAAGGAATTGCCCTGATGAAACACTCATCTCAATAGGACAAGCAGGAGTTATCCCCTCATGTCCTACAATTTCTGTCCTTACAGCCCCTGCCTTCATTTTGTCCTCAGCCCCCCAAGAGGAGAGCTGTACAGCGCTGCCAAACCAGCTGTAAGCTGGCGAGCCAGGCAACTACTAATGCCCAATTTAACATGCAGCTCATGTGCCTTTAAATAGCAGCGAGAGCCGAGCCAAGCCATCCACTGCAGCAATTTCTGGACATATGTGCGGAGCCCCCCTCCCTCGCCGAGCCCTCCCAGCCCCGCGCCGGGGATTGGCGCGGCTGCCTGTCAGTTCCCAGTCACCCCACTGACGTCTCCTCCGTGCTGTGGACTCGATCCCGTTTGTAGCCAATGTAATTACAACGTGGAGAATCAACAACTGTTAACGATTTAGGTTAAACGTAATTTAATGCCCCCAGATTACCGCACTTAGGCTAGATTTCATTTCACACGAGCCATCGAGAGAGTTCGAAGAGGTCGCATACTTTGTTAAAGTAGTTCTGGACAAAGGAAAGATTGACACTAGCTTCCTCGGGCTCTATTAAATGCTTCAGCGACTTTGGCATGAGTTTCCAATCTGTCATTGCTTTTGGAATTCCACATGTTAAAAGGAGATCTGTCTGAGAGCAGAGGTTCAAAATCCATTCCTCCTTGGGGGGGGGGGTCCATATATCTTAAAGAAGGAGAGCTTAAAATCCCTGATCAGGTCTAAAGGACTCTTGAAGAGACTATGCCTACTATTTCTTCCACAGTGCCATTTTATCTATAAGCCATGGAAGACAGCATGAAAAGTTGCTGTTATAAAGTCTAAGAAGTAGTCATCCAAGCCTAGAAACCAAAGAGTCCATCACAGAGTGCTCTTGTGCTACTGGGACGGCTGCCAAAAGAGACATGAAGATTGCTGTTGCCGAGCTTTTGGATGATGAGAAAAAGGACGGGACTTCCCAATGCAGCAGGCACTGCCCCAGAGTGCACAAAGCTCCTGAGCAGGCAGGCAGCACAGCTGCTGCCTCTGGTTCCTTTTGGTAGCCACTTTCTAGGTGGACTGTGCCAGACCATTGACTCAGAAGTTGGAGCTGGATGCCAAACACATTTTAGTAGAGGCTTTCAGCTCTGTATGTCGCTCTAACAGAAAGTTTCCTAACAAGGAGACAGCAAAACTGCTGCCTGGTAGCTTTAGAGCTCATTTGTCTTCTCCCCAGATGTGGACCAGTCATGTCTTTTCCAGTCATCCATGCTTCCACTGCCCCATTAGGAGTGCAAATATTTGTGAATGAAATTGCCAACTATTCTCTAATTCTTGAGCAACTCAGCAAAAAATAGCATCAAGCCCGGCAAGCTTTTGTGATCTGGTGACAGTGTGACCTTTGTTTATTCTTAGTATTGAAAGCAAAGGGATATCTGACGCACTGATGTATTTTGATGAAGTTCTTTATGTGCTTGGCTTTGGCAGGTTCTATTAATCCCCACCTCTGTGCTCCTGGGCAGCTGCTGTGATGGCAGCATTTGGATTTACTGACAGCAGTCCGTTGGCCTGTTGGTTCATAGCACTTAACAAATGGAGGAGCTTCCACGTTCTTGGTGTGGAAAAGTCAATGCTTCCTGTGGTCTTACATCTCTTACTGTTCAAGGGTTTAGGCGTGGCCTCATGCTGTTTGTAAAGCACTTTGCTCTCAGGCAGGATGGGGCAGCTGTTTTCCATGAGTCAGATGCAAGGGCAGTGCACTCCACCGTGTTCTCCAAGAGGTTTCGAGCCAACTTTGACCTTGGTTCAGTACAGTTTTCTTGAAGGTGTCCTGACAAGAATGTCAGTCTTTGCATGGAGGTTTTCAGCAAAGTGCAGGTACCAGCCTCAAGTGCAGGTGCCAGCCTAAGGAAAAGCATATGCAGATGATGAATAATGACAGAAAGGCTCAGACTTTAATGAAAAAAGTCATAAACTAATCACACAAAGAAGAAAACCATCATTATCCTGTGACATGAGGCAAAGGCCAGTTACGTACAGAACTTCCTGGCCTATCGAAGCTTATTTAGTTGTTTGACATTGAAGCCTTCCAAAAGTGTCCACAGAAACAGTTGTTCTCCAGCATTATCAATTGTTTTTGTAGCCCATGTAGCTTAACATCTGTTAAAATTGCTCAGATAGTTGTGTTGTTGGTTTAATAACTGGAGGTGACCATTACACACTTGGTGATTTACAAATGTTAATCACAGTAATATGACTTATATTATTCACTAAAGCATATAATTACATAAACTAAGTTGCTGGAGCAGAGTGCCTAAGTTCATATTTTACATATAAAACAAGTCACTACTTTTGATGGTAGTTCACAGAAACAAGAAAAAATTATGTCTCATCAAGATTCTTCCATGTGGCTCTCTTGAAGCAAAGGAAAATAAATATTTTACACATTTCAAGTATTTCATGATTGGAGCAAGATTATTCTCTTTATTTTAACTGCAGTATTTCTAGTGGAATGAAGGGCATAATTATATGGTCAAATTGAAATTTTGAGATTTTGAAATTGAAAGATTATTGAAATTATTGCTTTTCTGATTAGAAGGCCCTTTAAAAATGGTCACCAAAAGTCAACAGTTCAATCATGTAATAGGAAGCATCATGGGATGGTTGCCAACTTCTTCCCCTTCAAATGAATTTTCCGTCTGGAAGGACTTTGAATCCCTTTCCCATCACGTAGACTAGACCTAGAGACCCATCAGAAGCACATTCCCTGACATGGTTTAGACTCTGTCGGGACTTTCCAAAGGAAGCAAAGATAAGCGAATCACTACAAGCACAGAAAACAAAGGGGAAGGCAGGCCATGTCAATGTGGATCATGGACCACTTCTGTTGTGCACTAAATAGATCCCCAACTGAAACAGGACTGAACATGGTACTGTAAGTAAGATAGAGGAGCTGGATATTCACAAAGACTGCCAAAGGTGAACTGAAGATTTTCAACAGCAAACTGCAGAGCTATAAACACTGACAGCCAGGAAAATAAGTGTACTTTCACTCAAAGCAAGTAATATGAAGAATGAAATTACAGTAGGAAACAGGGACTAAAACTCACCTCAAAGGAAAGGAGGAAATACACCATGACAGAATTGCCTAAGAAAGATGTAAGTGATTGAAACAACGGGAGGTAAATAATGCTCCTGTCCAAGAAGGGACTTTGTACAATTACTCTGAAGAGAAGCTACCATGACGAGAAATAGAGCTATCTGGTTTCCTTCCTCCTGCTTTGTTCATTGACCATACCTTCACACTACATAATGCTAATGAACAAATAAATTAATGGCAACTAGTACTCTTACACTTCAGTGACTGTAAGAAAGCATTTGACAGTGGTGCTGCTATAGCAAGACACTGAAAATGTACAGATTTCATTGTAAAATCACTCACGTTTTCCAATGGCTTTCTCAGTACACCAGAAATTAAATGATTGCTTTGATGTCACTGCCGGCATAGACAAAGGTACATCATCTCCCTGCAGTGTCGTGTACTGCTATGTAACAAATATCTGGCACGGAGACTGGAGTCCCAGGGGTGTTTGGCAGCCTCGGTTTGCTGGGGATATCTATTCATCAGCAGATGAGATACAACAAAAGACAAATGGCTTAGTCAGAACAGCAAAACAATAAGGTCTTACAATCAACAGGTCAAAAAACAAAGGCTATGAAAATAAATATGACCTTACATGGCACCGTTGTTCTAGAAGGAGTAACTGCTAGCATTGTTGTCCCATTTATTTACCCAGGCAGTATGTCTCACAGCCCTTGTGACTCCGTCTGTGGTGCAGGGTTCAGATGGGCAAGGGAAGGACTACTTGTCTAACACAAATAAAGTCTTTACAAACTGGATCATGGAGAAGAAATAGGTTTATCAAATGCCCTTTAAACAACTTTCAGTTAGAGAGCTGCACCAGGCATTCATAATAAAATGATGAGCTAAAGAACAACGACAATTTAAGGTATATACAACTACCAATAGCTGAAGATAGTGGAGATAAGAATGTAGAACACATTGGCCATACCCTGACAATACTGAACAACAGGCTAGGTGACCCAAGGTCCAGAGGAAAAGATGTTGACTGGAGGAATGACTTTGCAGGACATGAGGAACTGAAGAAATGACCTTGCAGATCAGCAGATGGATCACATTACGAGTACTGATCTATGATAGGATTAGTTAGGGGCAAATGACCTCTGCCTTATGTCCTAGCATGTGTGAGGGGTGAGTTGCCTTAGAGCACCCCCATATGCTGAAGTTTTCTCTGCACAGGAACGAGGTGCAGCATAGATACAGGGGTCTTCCCAAATTGTCAAGACAATGGCTGTATTCATGCTCTTTACTGTAGACAGCATGACCCATTTTCCTCACTTTACACATTGCAAACCTGTAAATATGCCAACAGTTGCTTTGGACATCTCACTTTCAGCTTAACAATGTGCTTACTATAAAAGATTTTCAGGTACAATCAACTTAAACAGGTTTTTGCTTTCTATTGAATGTGCCAAGAAATTCACCAGGTATCACCAAACGTGATAGTACCTTTTGTCATCTCCTCTCACAGAAACAGGGAAAATACTCATTTTCTGCAAGCTATGTGGTGATTTGGAATACATTTAAATCAAAGGGGAGACCTGTGTTTGGTTACCCTAAACATCTAAACCAAGTAATCTTTTTAGATTTTTTTTTTTCCTTTTTAGCAGTGTAAAAAAAACATGTCAAGGAACCAAGGTCTTTTAGCACTGGCACCCCATAAAGAGTCCATTTCCATCAAAGGAAAGCATTTTCTTAACTCATTAAATGTTTGCATTGACCTATGATAGAAGAGTTTTCATTGTACAGGGATAGAGTCATAGGGCAATAATAATTACACACCAAAAGGTTTTGCAAGCTCTAGCACGGCTGTTTACTGGTCTATTTTCAAAAATAAATACCTGCTAAAGGTGTGTGCCTGCTGAGGTATTTGTCCCTCCACCTAAGGCATATTAATGTGTAGTTTCCTCTAGCTATGCTGAAGATCATAGGCAATTCTTGGAGAACACATCACTCAAATCTCTTTCACAACTATATGAAGGTGCTCTAATAAATATATATGTAAAGATAAAATGAAAAAGAGGAAGGGAAAAAGGAACAGATGGTGTCAAGAAGATAGAAGAGTGGAATTTTCTCTTGTTTTATCTTGAAACCAAGAACAGATCCTTACTGAAGCTTTATAACAACAGGGTAGAAGGAAAAAAGAACATATTTCAGGCAAAGTACAAAGAGCAATTAATTGCCTTAATACAGAGGTACTTAATTTATTCAAGTCATTTCTGTAAAAGTTTTGAAAATTTTTGGAAAACTTTTCTCTTTCTGAGAGTTTTTGGCCCTGAAAAGTTAGCTCCTCTAAAAGGAGAGAGAGCAGTAGCTGGCTAAAACCAGCAGGTCCCGGGTTTTGCTGTTGGTGGTTCACCCCAAGGATGGTCCTGTAGGGAAATGGAGGCAATGCTTTTGGGGGGATAGAGGTCATGCTTCAAGTAAGATGAATTCCCAGAACCTGTGTATTGCCTGGCCACATCAGTGTGTGTTCTGGTAGAAGGGAACGAGGAGAGAAGGAAAGGTGGGATGTGTCCTGGAGCAGTGGGGAGCAAGACTTGACCTGCACCAGGATTCAAGTTGGCTTAATGTGACCATGGAACAAGAGCATAAGCTGGTGTTAAGGCACTGGAGTCACTGTAAGGGAAGTTTCTTATTTTTATTATAGATCTGGATCTTCACTAAACTTCATCACACAAGAACTATTATTTGTATGTCTGCTTTTACTCAACTTCAGAGTTACATAAAGGGTTTGGACCAAGGGTCAGCATGCCAAATATTGTCAGCCTGAGTTCAGTGCATATCTATGCTTCAGATATCTATTCCTTTCACTAATACAGTAGCTAGTCTGTGCAACAGCATTGCCTCCCCATTCACATTTACATTCCCCCTCAAGGCTGCCTGCAATTTGAGCCATGGAAGCAGCCAGGCTTTATCACAGCAAGTCCTGCTCAGAAGGGACATGGTGGGCAGGAAGCTCTGATGGACATGGCCCCCTACATTACTTTCTACCTTTCCTCCTCATGGTATACCTTGGAACCCAATGAGAAGGGTTGGCTTGCTATCTTTTGTAGCCTTTCATTTTCATCCACACAGTCTGGGGCTTTTTTCCTCACTCAGGGGGAATTTACCAATTCAGCTTCTTACACTTGTTTTTGGACTGTAGTTCCATCCTCATGTACTTTTAGAGACTTCTGCATTGCAATTTACATGTATAATGCACAGTTAATTACAGTTTAAATTAAGCACACAAAAATCAAGATCTGATGATCTGTTTTATCAAATCAGGCTGTGTAAGATTAACAGCTATTATAAAATAAATGAAATATGTAGATAACTCTTACCATTTCAGTAGTTCATTTACAGATCCATTAATTCTCTGGGATGCACTGAACATACAAATGGGGACCAAGTTGCTCACATGAAAAATGCAGTCTCATTCTTTCCATTAGGCTGCTGCCCAACCACATTAGAAGCAGAAATTCCCTGTGGTTTAATGACAATCTGGTATTTTGTACCTAAAATGTGAGTCTTTTCTTTTGCTTACCTGAGTATAAGTATCTGGTAACATATTTTTTTTCTAAGAAATAAGACAACACCAAAAAAAAAAAAAAAAAAAAAAAAAAAGAGCTTTATTAACAATTTATATCTTGCTATGGTGTATGGAGCTCTGTTTTCTAACCCTTGATAATAGTAAAGGATGTTGCAACATCCCACCCCGAGTAGGACTTCAGAACATTGTGGTCAACTCTTTCCCGTGAATACCCATGGGCTGCTGCACAGAGCACTCTCCAAAGAAGCAGGGTTGAGATCCTGCATGCCAAGTTCAGGATTATGGACAAGTCTTCTACATCTTAGATATCACTGACCAAAGACTGCTACATAAAACGTGGATATCTTCACTCTGACACACTTTGGAATCCAGTGCCTAGCCAAAACTACTTAGCACATTTTTCTCAGATATACAAATAGCTTGGGAATAACTAAAACAACATTTGATGACAAATTTACTCTTTGTAGAAAAAAAAATATCTAGCCACAGCTGTAAATGTCTTGTATTTTGCATGATGTGTTTGTAGGGAAAAGAGGTTGTTTTCTAGCAACGAAGTAAATTATTCAGAATCAGTTCTTAAAGTGATCAAAAAGAAAAGTGTAAGCTACTTTATTATTATTATTATTTTTAATACAAAAGATCTGTTCGTTGAGGTACTGATCAAACTAAACAGAAAATCAAATGAATCAAGGATTAGCTTCAATAGAATGCACGGGCTTCTGCTGAGACAGAAATGGATTGTTTTGCCAAACAGCAGCAGGGCTTGCCAAGATAAATTACTTGATTAAAAACAACCTCCATGTTGGTTGATTTGGTATTCATTTTTTTAACTTTGGACAAAGAAGTGAACATTCTCTGGGAAGATAAAAAACAAGCTGCATTTGAGTAGCTCTTTTATTTAAGTGACATAAGCACAAATATAACAGCGAATATAAAAGAAACAAATGAAAGAAAGACAAAAGGAGGAAATAAGGAAAGATTCTTATTAGCATTAATATTATTTATTTGCTTTGCATCCATTCCTAACAGCACAAGTCATGAAGCAATACCCCATTATATGAGGCACAGTGCAATCACAAAATGAAAGGACAGGGTGTGCTCCTAGCAGTTCACCATTTAAATATAGCACCACAGACAACAGGCAAGTATTGACTAACAGTGGAGTACAAGGACAAGCAGTCCTGCACACCCAATGCAGGGGGCTCAGCCTGATGTGGCTGCCATCCTGAGGAACTCATGGAGGTGGTTTTGGCTTTGGGGAGCTCCCCCCAGTAGTGCTGGCCGTGGGCTGACACTCAAAAGTGTTTTCTGGAAGATATGACGACAGGACAGTGGGTGGTGGGCATGTTCTGGGGCAGATGGAAGATGATAAGAAGCACTGGTCTTGAGGAAGGACTTGTGAGTGGAGATAAGGTTTATGCAACAGAAAAGGAAGGGTCAGTAGCGAGGTGCTAGAAACACATCTCAGAGAGCTGGGAAATTATTTCTTTGCTCCTGGGTGATGTTCAGAGGGCTCTGCTAGTTCAGACAGGGCATGCAGTCCTTTCCTTGGATGAACAAACCCACACTGTCTTGCAAAGATCAAACAGAGAGCATGACACAAAGTTGAGAGCTGAATCACTTGGACTTGTGGTTTGGATCCCTTATGTATCTAGTGGAAAACTGAAATTATCCAGCCCTCTGAGGCAGGCAAGAAGGAGCTCTCCAACCCACCTGGATCACTTGTAGGTAGAAGTTACAGCTAAGGGTCAAGCAGAGGAGAGGAGATACGGATCTACAGGAAGCAGCGATGAGTCAAAGCACCACTCCCCAGTGCAGCTTAGCTGGGTTTTCTTTTTTTACCACTTTGAGCTAACCAAACAGGCAGGATTTGCACACAGCTTCACCAAGTTGTTTTCCTTGCACAAAATGAATTTGTTAACTGGCCAAAACCTGGAAAA